TGTGACAGTGAAGTGTACAGTGTGACTGTACTGTGACTGTGAAGTGTACAGTGTGACTGTGTGTACAGTGTGACTGTACTGTGACAGTGAAGTGTACAGTGTGACTGTATGTACAGTGTGACTGTACTGTGACAGTGAAGTGTACAGTGTGACTGTACTGTGGCAGTGAAGTGTACAGTGTGACTGTACTGTGACTGTGAAGTGTACAGTGTGACTGTACTGTGACTGTGAAGTGTACAGTGTGACTGTACTGTGACAGTGAAGTGTACAATGTGACTGTACTGTGACGGTGAAGTGTACAGTGTGACTGTACTGTGACAGTGAAGTGTACAATGTGACTGTACTGTGACGGTAAAGTGTACAGTGTGACTGTATGTACAGTGTGACTGTACTGTGACGGTGAAGTGTACAGTGTGACTGTACTGTGACGGTGAAGTGTACAGTGTGACTGTACTGTGACGGTGAAGTGTACAGTGTGACTGTACTGTGACGGTGAAATGTACAGTGTGAAGTCCAAGCAGCTGTGACGTCACATGCACAACACTGAACGCAGTGGGTGACCCTGATACATGACTTCAAATTCAAATTTGACAGTTCAAAGACAAAGTTTGCTAAGGTTTAAATATATCTGGCTTCAAATCATGTTTCTTGCGAGCCACTTTGCTTATTTTGACGCTGAATCCAAAAATGAAATCAGTTTATAGCTGCGATAATTAGTCTACTAAAAAAATTTTGCAAGCAAAGTTCAATTTCGAACGGCGGCAATTTTCATAGGGATTCTGCGTCACAGCTGGCCTCTCCCAATTCTGACGAGATAAGTTAAAGATGACAGTTATCTTTTCTCGTTCTGACAAGAAAGTACTGTGTGATGAGGTATTTGCTTAGCGCAGTCGCTGTTCCCAGGACCAATTTTTTCACTGTTTAAAAAAAAATAGAAACGCTGTTCCCCGGTGCTCCGGAAAGAACATCAGTGCCAATAAAATGTGGTATGTGTAGGGAGTTTATTTATATTCTATTCTAATTTATTTTATTTATCTAATTAATTAATTATTTAATGTTTTAGTTTAGAGAAGAAAATTGTCCTTTGCTATCCGGATTCAAACCTTAGATTTATTGAATGAGAGGAGAACATGTTAACCTCTAGGCCACGAGAGACCCCACGCAATGCCCACTTTTGGTGTAGGTCAAGATTTCTGGAAATCCCCGAATTCTGGGTTATCCCGCTTGTCCTTAATAGCGACTATTTGAATTCTTTTCCTTCTAAGATCTACTCAGTAGTCTCCAAAGAAACCACATTTCTATTACTTCTATTTTAATTGTCACTGTCTTTAGTGATTTTCCAGCTTTCACAGTCATGGAAGTGTTCTTTATTGTATGATTAGTAGTAGTAGCAGCAGCAGCAGCAGCAGCAGCAGCAGCAGCAGCAGCATCAGAGGTAGTAGTAGTAGTAGTAGTAGCAGTAGCAGCAGCAGCAGCAAAGGTAGTAGTAGTAGTAGTAGTAGTAGTAGTAGTAGTAGTAGTAGTAGTAGTAGTAGTAGTAGTAGTAGTAGTAGTAGTAGTAGTAGTAGTGACGTCGATTGCGTAACGGTTAGGCTACCAGATTCGTAATGGTGAGGTTGCGGGTTCGGGGGTTCGAGCAGCGAGCCCGACGTTGTGTCTTTGGGAAAGGCACTTTACGTGAATTTTCCTCACTTCACCCAGGTGGGAATGGGTATCATGCCCTAGACAGGGATAGATCTTGTCAGTTTGTAAGTGTATTAGCGCCTATATGGCAGCTTGTACTGTATGCTTTCCAGAAAGTTAAGATTGGTTCAGAATGCTCTCAGATCTGCTGGGGTAATAGTATAGACTGTAAAGCACATAGAGCTTGCTGTTGAGCGGGGATTTGCTCTATATAAATGCTATCTATTATTACTAGTAGTAAGGTTATACAAAAAGCTCCATATGTCCACAAATTGACAAGCGCCTGATTCCCACAGCCCTGTTATACATTACGTAAAAGTTAGATCTCTTCCTTTATGTTCTGTTTTTTTTTCATTGACGTAATATCGTGTGGGAAAACTTAGAACTGAGACAGCTCAAGAGTCTGCGTGGGGTCTCTCGTGGCCAACAGGTTAAAGCAAGAACAAATACAACTTTTGGTGTTTTTGGCTTGAAAATTCGATTTCCAAATTTTGGGCCAAAAAAAGTGTTAGACCATTATACTATATGTTCCACATGTTTCCAAAGCTTTGAAAACACCATAAATATACACATTTTCAGTTTTTGTAACCTACGGGTGATCTTTTAGGATCACAAAAAGGCCTACGTTGTTAGTTTTGGGTTATAAAACATTGTAGCAGCCATATGTTCCTTTGAACAGAATGTTGGCTGGCTGTATACCACTGAAAACGGCATTAAATGCTCAATCTGGAAAAATAACTTCAAACACCGTTCGCATTAATTCAAAAACACTGTAAACCGTTGAAATAGGTCACCAGATCCTGCCAAATAGACCCGGGAGTTTCCGTAAGAGCGGATGACGCTGTCATTTCAATGCGTGCCTCCCTTTGGCATTTTCAGCATGGGTCACTGAAGATTTTCTCAAATTGCCAAGTTGTTTTCCAAGATATTTATTTGATATTTTTCAAGGACGTGTAGAAATCGTGTCTAAATGACATTAAGAAGAGAATTTGGGCATATTGTCTTTGAATTTGACAAAATTCTTGGCTGTGTTAGTAGAGTAGTTTTTAACTAAGGAACATGCTTGTTTTTGGGTTTTTTCAAAATCCACATAAAATAGTCTTAAATATCATGTTTTCTTTTCCTTATGGCACATCCCAGTATGCTAAGCACGTACACTGCAAATCTGAGGGCAATATCTTACGCAGTTGTTTTTTTTAGAAATAAGAAAATGTGAAGTGTGCGGACTAAATGAGTTATTTCTTGGATTCGAGCCTATGGAAATAGATACATCACGCTTATAGGTGAAGTTTTCTTTTACAATTTATGAGTATGAAATATTAAAAACATGATATTTTTAAAGATCATCAATAAAAAATCTACAAATTTGACCCAAGTGTCGATTTTTGACCCAATATCTCCATTTGTGGATTGCGAGAAGTAACTCATTTTGTCAGCACACCTCACAAATGAGAAATCATAAAGAATTCAAGATGGCCGCCATGGTGACACATTTTTTAGCGAAAATCAAAAACATTTCCGGACATGTTCTTTTTATGGCCCTTCATGGCCACTGCTGTCATGTTACAAGATACTGCTGTCATGTTACAAGATACTGCTGTCATGTTACAAGATACTGCTGTCATGTTACAAGATACTGCTGTCATGTTACAAGATACTGCTGGCATGTGACAAGATACTGCTGTCATGTGACAAGATACTGCTGTCATGTTACAAGATACTGCTGTCATGTTACAAGATACTGCTGTTATGTTACAAGATACTGTTTTCATGTTACAAGATACTGTTTTCATGTTACAAGATACTGCTGTCATGTTACAAGATACTGCTGTCATGTTACAAGGTACTGTTGTCATGTTACAAGATACTGTTGTCATGTTACAAGATACTGCTGTTATGTTACAAGATACTGCTGTCATGTTACAAGATACTATTGTCATTGTACAAGATACTGCTGTCATGTTACAAGATACTGCTGTCATGTTACAAGATACTGCTGTCATGTTACAAGATACTGTTGTCATGTTACAAGATACTGCTGTCATGTTACAAGATACTGCTGTCATGTTACAAGATACTGTTTTCATGTTACAGGATACTGTTTTCATGTTACAAGATACTGTTGTCATGAACAGCAAAAATACTAAATTCTATTAGCGCTTGCCTCTCCTTCAATAAGTCTAGGGTTCGAATCCGAATAGCGACAGACAATTTTCTTCTCTCAAATCTTCTCCTTTCACCCCATTCCTGCTCTCTAACAATGTTCCGTCGTCTGTTTTCGTTTCCACTTTCTTCCCCCATCCCTCACCCCCTTTCTGCAGCCTTTCTACTGCTACTCCTTGGCTCCTTCTTAGTTCTGTCTCCCAGCCACACCCCTGATCTTAATGTATGGTAAGAAAGATCTACACCTAGCCTTCTCGGACAAGGGCGAAAAATCTCGGAGGTCCCATGTGCAAGTTGCGCACGTTAAAGACCCCTGGGTGGTCCAAAATCGATAGTACGAGTAGGCTTCGGCCGCCACCATGGCAAAATTCAAAATTTCCTACCAACTGAAAATGTTTAGTGTGTCCAGCGCGCTCACATGACCTTATGCAACTGTGAGTGCCGTAAAACACTTACCAAACAAAAATGTAAAAAAGAGTGAGCCTAATTAAGGCGTAACCTTGTTGTTGTCGGGTCTCCAACTGGTGTTCTTGCTGCTACTGAGAAACTAGGTCAAACTTAATTCTGATGTGATTTTCTGTAGGGCTAAACCTTTACATTCTACTCAAGAAGTGAGTACTGAAATGTTAATAACAGTATTCATGAGCACTACAGCTATAATAGATTATTATCATGACGTGGGCAGATTGCACTTTGAATGCTCATAAGTTAACAGAGTTTGTATAGAAATAGAATAGAGGGGGGGGAGGAAAGAGTTGAGTAGAGAGAGAGAGAGAGAGAGAGAGAGAGAGAGAGAGAGAGAGAGAGGGGGGGGGGGAAGAGTCCAATTTAGAAGAGTAGAGAGAAGGAGAGAGTCAGGATGGGAGAAAGAGTGGAGTAGAAAGAAATATAGTGAGGTAGGAGGGGGAAGCGACTGAGAGAGATATGGGAGAAGAGAGAGAGAGAGAGAGAGAGAGAGAGAGAGAGAGAGAGAGAGAGAGAGAGAGAGAGAGAGAGAGAGAGAGAGAGAGCCGAACGTAGATGTGACACTCTTTAACCATCTATTCTCGTGTAACTTCAACAGACGACAATTCTCTGCACTGCCGTAATGAACACAGACCTAGGAAACAAGACCACTGACGACAGAAATGCAAGAGAAAACGAAACAAACATGATTTGAAGCATTCTTTGGATTTATTTCCAGAATTATTCCTCGTCGTCCACGAAGCCAGAGAGATTAGTCAAAGGCTTAACGGGTGTTTTGAGCAATCCAATCCAGATAGGCAGAGACCCTGGTGTAGACACTGGGGGTGTCGCCGCTGCAAGCACGGTCTCCCCAGGAAGTGACGCCAGCCAAGATGTCATGTCCTGACCCACACATCATGGGTCCTCCACTGTCGCCCATACAGGCGCTCGGTCGCTGCCCGACTTGAGGACTGGCGTCGTGCACACAGATGTGTTTGTCCGTGATGGCTTCCGAAGGCCATCTGGCGTTGCATTCTGCAGTGGAGATTTTGGTGATGTTCACCTCCATGAGATCTTGGGAGTCTACGAGCTGGGAGCCCACACTCTTCTTGCCCCATCCGGCCAGCACGCATTCCGTGTAGGCAAACGAGGTGCCGGCAGGGGCCAGCTTGGCTGTTTTGACGTTATTGTTGATGACAGCCGGGGTAGAGAGTTTGAGCAGGGCGATGTCGTTGGGGATACCAGAACCTGAGGACTTGTACCCTGAGTGGATGACCACCTTACTCACGCCGCTCCGTTGGGAGTAACTGTTTGGCTTGTCCAATGTGATGATTCCCAGGTTCACCCTCAGTCTACTGCTGGACAGACTTTCCACGCAGTGGGCAGCGGTCAGCACCCACTCCCTGTCGATGAGCGAGCCCCCACAGATGTGCGTCCAATAGCTGTAGAAGAAGTTGTCGATATAACCTTCCAGAGAGACGATGTACGGGTGGGAGTACAGCTCTGCATAGTCTCCGTTGATGATTCTCTTCTCACTCACGGCTGATGCCACCAGGCACAGCAAGATGGTGGCGACTAGCTTCATGACGTCACTGACACAGGGACACAGAGGTGGCTGGCTGTTGGACTGTTGGACTGGTGTGGTTACTGCAGCTCGCTGACAGATGATGGCTCCACAGAACGATGTCCGCCTCTTATATACAGCCGGCGACGTTGTCGGAAACAGGTAGATGTGCTCTGGTTCTGTCCACGTTTTTATATGGCATGCCATAAACGGTTTTCAGCTGCTGTAAAATTAATAACCCCCGCACAAAAGGAGACATGTGTAGGTGGTATTTGAAAGGTACGTATTTTACGGCATGTTCGCTACTCTGTGTTGTTTACGAGAGTCATAAAGAGGTGGACGATACTCGCGGTTGTCCCCATCACGATATTTGTGGAACCTGTCAGGTTGAGAAACTGATACGTCATGCTACTGAGGTTTTGGTAGTTGTGTGTGTGTGTGTGTGTGTGTGTGTGTGTGTGTGTGCGAGCGCGCGCGTGTGTGTGTATATGTGTGTGTGTGTGTGTGTGTGTGTGTGTGTGTGTGTGTGTTTGTATGTGTGTATCTGTTTTTCGGGCTTTATTTCAGCCTTTATTCCAAGAAGTGAAAAGTATACAAAACAGCAACACAGGATCCATTCACTCCAGGGCTCATAAATCATCCCTGTCTTTCTCTGACTCAGGCAATGTCCAAGTTTTCTCCCCGCGGCTCATCCCACCCCCTCTCTCCCCGCACAACTCTCACACCCCACCCCCTCTCTCCCCGCACAACTCTCACACCCCACCCCCTCTCTCCCTGCACAACTCTCACACCCCACCCCCTCCCTCCACGCACAAGTCTCACACCCCCAATACCTTGTATCGGGAACTGAGGAGACATCAATTAGGTCAAGCACACCAAATATGCTTTTTAAAAACCCCACAATAATATGTACCCAACAGGTTAGGGTATCTCCATGTAACAGATTCCAAGCCTTCACGATAATTGACACTCACACATCTCACTTTTAGTCGCCTCTTACGACACGCAGTATCACGGAAGGTGTACTATTTGCTTCTCATAGTAAAACTACGCCCCCCC